CTTTCCTAAAATTGCTTAAGGATTTTCTAGTAAGTCGCATACAGAAAGTAAGAGTAAATTCGAAGCGCTCCACCTGGAGACCAGTACATAGTGGAGGACCTCAAGGTTCTGCTCTAGGTCCTTTACTTTTTATACTCTATGTAAATGATCTCCCAAGTATAGTTGAGTCCCCAATGTAATTATACGCTGATGATGTAAATATCTGGCAAAAAATAATGGAAGCAGATGCATGCGCACTCCAGGCAGACTTACATATTGTGATTGTGATTAGCTGGTCTAAAGAGTGGCTGATGCCTATCAACGCGGTAAAATGTGTCTACATACACTTTGGGGATACTAAGGTAAATAGGTACAACATAGGGGAAGTGCCTGTACCCGTGGTCCGGTTTCACACGGATCTTGGGGCGACAGTGAGTCATGATCTTAAGACCACGGCCCACTGCCGGGAGGTAGCAGTTAAGGGGTTTGAACCTTACGGGCTCTAAGACGGACATTCCCCAAGTTAGATACTGCTATGTTCACCATAGCATACACAACCTTAGTGAGGACTAAGTTTGAAAACTGACTTCAGGCTACAAACCCTTATTTAAAAGGTGACTCGAATATCCTGGAAAAAGTAAAGAGGGCAGCTACCCGTGCAATCCTATTTGGTGCCTTCTTGTACCTATGTTTATGTTTAAATATATAAATAAAGGAACGAACAAAATACCCGTGAAATACAGATTTTTACATCGAGTGATCAATTCTAGGAACCTGTTACCCAAAGTAGTGATGTTCGCACCTTTAATTGATACATTCAAGAGACTAGACACTCACAGAAGCATACTAGGAAAGGAATAACATAAGCCTTACTACGCACAAATCAAAAAATTATCCAAGTACTTGAGTATGAGCAACACTTGAAGTGTGATGGTTAACGATACTACTCGGTTGACCAAAACGAAATACGTACAGACAGTAACTGTATAAGCACTTTGATGTTCAAAATTGTAAAAGCCGGGCAGTCAAACTTTTCCTAAATAACTTATTTTTACGAAAAATATTTTGATTTCACTAATAACCAGAAACAATTGCAAACGTTGTATGCTCAGTCAGTGAATATAGCCATGATTATGACCTGCAACTAAACGGTAAACATTTAAATACTTTACTCATTAAGCAATGAAACATACAGGATAAGTGAAGAGGTCAGTGTGCTCGACTAAGTTACGGAACTAGGCAATGATGTGTGCCAGTTTTGAAATATAATGAAAACAAGAGTAACGCCTCAAATGTTTTCACTTGATACTCACAAGACGAAATTTAAGATAAATCTTGACTAAATAAAACTGTCATCTGAGTACCTCAAATCGATAAATTTCTTTTGAATCCCTGAAAAATCAGACGTGAAAGTTGTCTAAGATAATATCTATGACATTCGAAAAAATTGAAAGTGAGCAACATTAATGAGCATTTATCCTGGTTGGAATATTGTTAAACGAAAAAAGGGTGACGTCATCCAGTCAGTCAGTAACAACGTGGAACTTTGAACGCACATACATCAGTTCGAGTTGCCATACCAAATTAGAACACAAATACAATTGTCGATTCAAATCCCATAGTGGTAGAGGTAGTAAAAGTATAAGCAGTAATCGGAAAGATTCAGGTTTGAAGACGTCATTCAAGGAGTATAATCCAGTGAAATGAATTTGGAAAGAGAAAAAATAAAAGTTACATGAAGAATTCAGAAAATTAGAATGTGGGAGAACACAAAGAGTGAATGCACCTGTGTCATTCTAGATGTCTAACCATCGGTTGTTATCGTCTCGCAAATCCCAACCAGGTGGTCTACACCTACCAACATGAACCAGTCCACTTGTCAGTGAGTTCACAGATTTGTGCCATCTTTTTGTCTGGCCACTCCTAGCTTTCTTCCATCGGTCTTCATAAACATAACAGCACACGAGATCAAGTTGGTCACTATCAAATCCTTCCTACAACAAATGATAAAAACTGAATCCATTGCATTTTATTATCTCGAATTCATTTCCATATCCTGACATTTATTTAAAACAGATATAAAACTAGTCTGAATGAAGGTCAAATGATCACAATTGGTTGATCACTGGGTGGCGATCGATGTCATGCATGTCTAGTCCTTATTAGTGTAGGGAGCACCAGTTCCCTCAAGATTACAGGTACACCTTACTGACGAGTGCCAAGTAGCACGAAACCCGAGTCCAGGGTTTCCTGTCGACTACCTCCAATCACCATCTAATCTCGAAGGTCAAATGAAGGTAATCTACTGTTTAACCTTAGCTCAGAAAGTCATTTATGATTTCTCTGTGTTGTGTTTAGAGGTGTGATGGTTTTGTCTGGCCGCCCTTAGCTTTCTTCCATCAGCCTTCATACCCGTAAGAGCACACGAGACCAAGTTGGTTATAATAGAGTTTGAAGGAACACAAAGAGTGGATGTACCTGCGCGATTGCCAACGATTTTGAGCCATGTCACCCAAACAAAATAGGACTATTATTTCGTGAAGGTATTGATTAAAGGTGCAAATAACGTATGATTGAGTACGGATCCACAAGACGGAAATCTATATTTCACAACTATTAAATATCATGGCTTAAAAACTAGTTCCCATAGTGTAGGTGTACTCATGAATTTACTTAAGAAATAATGCTAACACTGTATACATTATCTTCATAATTTGTGTTGATCTCTCTTCATGTAACTAAACATTTTTCTCTAGATTCAACATTTATAACACAGTGGATGCGAACTTACACCCTTTACTTTGTTTATGATCGAATTTTAAAAATGTGGTAATGCACAAATTATTGATTTCTACATACAACTATTTCACATTAAATTGTTGGTTGTATACAGTAATTTAGTGCTTTAGGAGTTCAATCATGTGGTACATACTGAATTTTTTTGTTGTATAGAACAAACACCACAGAAATTAAAACAATATTAGATATAATTACAAAATGTAAATTGTAACTCAATATAGTTATGTAACAGTAGCAAGGTGGTGGGTTCCCTGTATGAAAGGAAGGCCAGCTTGTTGTTTCCAACGTAAAGAAAGTGCGTCAGATGTCTCGGATATGCCTAGATATTTTTAGCAACAATCCAGTTATTCCGTAATTTTTGTTATTTGAGAAATTTAATTAGAAACTGTCCTAGTTGTTTGGCTATTTTCTACACGAGATTACGCGACCAGTGAGTCAGTAACAACGTAGAACTTCGTACGTACGTACATCAGTTCGAGTTACCACACCACATTAGCACAGAGATGCAGTTGCCGATTCAAATTCCGTAGTGGTAAAGGCGGTAAGAGTATAAGCAGTAATCGGAAACACTACCACTAAGCGACCACAATATTGTAATTTATAACAATTTCGGTGAGACTATAATTTATGGAAAACATTTGAGCGACGCTAAAGAGACTTTGAGAATGTTCACCTACATACTAACTATGGCTAAATGAAGATTATAAACCAACGTGAAGAATTAGGATTAATATTTACAATCGATGGTTAGTATAAGGAATCAGATATATCACGAACTGACATCAGTTATAATGTCAAGATTCTATTTAACCAAATGGATGAGTGAATTTCGGGCCAAAATCAAAAACCGTTAACCTATAAATCATTGGTTCGTCCATAAATTACAGTCTCGCTATGATTTCCATTAATATTTACAGACTAAGATCCAAGGATCAAACATTTACAATCAATAAATATACTTGATTACCAAGCCAGTAACAGAATTGTATGTTTAACATGACTTACTGGCTTATACAGATCCTGGTCTAATTTTTCATCATATAACTGAGTCTCACATTGTTTAATTGAATTATTATCACTAATATGATTAAGTGATTGATGTGAAACATCATGGTTAATACTTTCATTATCTGGTGTATTTACAATTGAACAAATACCATTTTCTAATTTATTAGATTTATATGTTCTTCTAATAGTCACTTTAAGAGAATGAAAATTTTGATCCATATTTCCATTCATTTGAAATCTTGTTTCTCGTTTAGATTTTTTACGAATTTTTCGATGATTCATATATCGTCCAGATTTATTTATCTCCTGTGATGAATTATGACTATTTAATTGACCGGAATATTTAGATTTAAAATCATGACGTTGAATACGATTCGTTTGAGAAAAACAATTAGATACATTCGATGGATTTATACGTGATAAGACAGGAGATATTCCAGTTGACTTTGAAGTTACAGATGTACAATATATTCCTTGTTGTTGATCAGATTTTGTTGAATCATTTGATAACATTGTAGCATCAGAACAATGTTTATCTAAATAGACACTAGGTGAAAGTTCAGCAGTAGGACCACGATGTCGCATACTTTCAATCATAGAAACAAAATCCCAATTAAATTGATCACTGAAATCAATGAATTGAAACAAGTATAAACAAGATAAATGCGTAATTATGAATACTTAAAATTCTAGCAGGCATAAAATCCATATCACAGATGCATTGCTGATAGTTTGTCTCTTCAACTACAACAAAAAAAAAGATCCACTGTTTATTGATCTTTTGAGAAAGCCTAGGTTGACTAAGTTCTCTCTGTGTTAAATTACAAAAAGCGTAACCAACGCAGGTCTTCTGTATAGTTGTGATCAGTCTGTCTATCCTATAACTAAAATGAATTGTATATATTAATAGTAAACAGACATGTCGTCCAATCAACAACCTTTAAATTAATCAATACTCTCTTCTGATTGGTTATTTCGATAAGGCTGTGCATAAATTAATTCTAATAACAAAGCTATTATTATACGAAGGGTGGTGGTGGTGGTGGTGATGAATTGTCACAAACAAAATTGTAACTATGATTCATCTTAACAATTACCTTTACAAAATGATGATGATGTCTCATTAAAATCGTCAGCCCTATAATAATCATCTATATTTCTATGTCTGATTGGTATCGTGTATATAGCGTATGACATTTATTGTAACTCTTAAGATGGTTGATAGAGTATTAGACCAGTGGAATTATGGTCACCGTTACTTAGTAATGTTAAGTTTAGAAGTTTGTGAAGTTCCACAATAGGTCGAAACGGCTGTCCAGTACTTCTAAGTTTTTTCATGGTGATCTAGTTTCAATTGACTCATAATCTCAATTATTGAAATTACTACAAATTCCAAAAACCCCTTCTGATACTAATAAACATATACTCACTAGAGACTGGCTTCAATAGGTATTTCCTGGAGTTCTAGTAAAAAGCAGTGACCAGTGGAGTTCAACCGGATCTGTTGTGAGATAGTAACTCACTGAAGATAATGGTAGATGTGTCGCTAACTTCATGGATTAGTTGAAGTTAGACATTAATACCGTTGGATGACGTCAGGTTCAGTGGTCTAGAGGTTATGCATACGCGCGTGAGACTGATAGGTTTTGGGTTCGGATTCCATGAGGTGGGATCGTAGATACGCATTACTCAGGAGTTCCACAATAGGACGAAACGGTCGTCTATTGCTTCCAGATTTTTCATGGTGGTCTAGCCTTAATTGGCTCATGATCTCAACTGTTGAAATAACTTTGGTTCTTAATTTTAGTTCATCAACCAGATGATAAGGCCCTATATATCAAACTTAATTCATAACATAAACATTATCAGCCGAAACGTTATCTTTAGTTGAAATTAGAATTTGGGGTTCGTGTAATTCACTCACTAAACTGGATGTTTTTCGACTTTACTATCATACGATGATATTACCAGATAGATTATAGTTACTGTTGGTTTATTATCTATGTATGACGTACAGTGCTGAGTAGTGTTGCGGATGGTTAGAAGAAAGTTAAGGACGGACAAACCAAAACGTGCCATCAGTCATTGAAGTCATGTTGGGAGATGCAGACTACTTAGTTGAGGTCCACGTGACTATCGTAACCAAGGGTTGGAGACTCTGTGTGACATGGCTCAGAATCGATCACAATGGTGTAGGTGTATACACTATCTCTCTTCCTTTAAACAATGAGAATAAAATCGTATCATATCTTTCTTTCTACGAACTAATTCTTTCTTCCTCTACTATGTCCTTATACACAATCCTTCTTTTATATATTACCACCATTGAATTAACTACTTCTATGAATCCGGTGTTCATTTTGTTGTGCTAATGAGGTATGGCAAGTTGGATCGATGTATATAAGTGCCTGGTCCTACACTGTAGCTGACTGACTATCTATGTAGATATTTTCAGACGTTATAAGATACGAATGTAATTCAAAAAGTCATTCATTTGCTTCCATGTTATAATTATTCTCAAAAATTGGAAATCAGACTAAGTAATTCACATAACATTTGATCTTCTAGAAGTCTTCAAGATTTCCGATAGGCAATAATATTAGAAAAATCACATTTGTTTATTACATTCTTAAGATGGATATCAATAAAATTCCCATAGTTTCCGTTGACGTGGGATTCACTAATATATTCTTCCATCTTTACTGTGGATTCCATCAGTTGATCTATTTATTGTAGAATGTGAACATGCTAATATATGGTTTAAGTAAAGACAGTTAATTCAATTAGTTGCTCAGTAGAAAACTTAATTGTTCGTAGCGCTATCGTAACCATTTAGAAACTTTCTGTCATTTTGAATTCCACATACTCCTGGATTGAAACGAAATATCACTATGTGATCTCTGTGACTATCGTTGGTCAGAAGTCAATCATCTGGAATTATAGGGTCAATAAAATACCATTGATTCATAGTTATATCATTATGACAATCAATATATAATCATATTCCTAAACATTGGTTATCAAACATTGAATTATTGGTCTTGATCTCTAAAGTTCAATAATAATTAGCGCTCACAGAATTTATAACTGAACTTCAAACGGATCAACTTGGTCACATTCCAGTCAGTCAGTTTCCTGTTTCTTTCTATCATGTTAGGAGTGACCAAGTTATAAGTCAATCGAATTGTGAAATTTCTACATAAGTATATCTAGGTTGACCAGTTATACAATTCGAATGTACTTTATTACTGATTTTATACATGAATTTCAATATTACTTCTGATACCGTTGTAGGGCCTCTCAAATGTCACTGAGCCATAACCAAATCATCCGGTAGTTGAGTCACTGAATAACGAACAGATCATCGATTTCTATGTAAGTCAAGGACAAACAAAGCTGGTCAGTTAGTCGTATGCTATGCGGTGGTGGTCTTGATATCTTCTATGTACTCATAGTACTTTGATACATCAAAGGGGTAATTCACGTTAGATGCTGACCGCGAAATGTGATTTCAAAGTTATCTGGTTCGTTACATCATCCCCGTCTAATTCGGGTAGCCCTCCGATCACTTGAAATAGATCATCTACGTTGGTGATCAACACCGTAATCGAATTATCTGTTCGGTCATCTACATCATTCTGATATCCTAATAAATATAACGATGAATGTTTGTTCTATTTGTTGTATTAAGAACTTACAAATTCACCTATATATTATCTTTGATATTAAAAACATGATTGAAAAGTTCCCTCAACTGAAAATACTGAATACGCTATTTGAATTGAAAAAAAATATTGATTTTTATGTTAGACAAAGGTCATGTATACACTTGGTTACTTATTGGTACTTCCCATTGATATACATTTTATTGTATTGTGATGGATACAATCCTAAAGTTTATTAAGACAATATCTCATTTTGTTATCATACCTTTGTGTACTTTTGATTTTCATCCAATATATCGATCAGTTCAGAAGAACATGTCATCATTATTGATTTAGTAAAAATACTTACAATCAAACAAAGTAACTAATCTCTGAAATATTCTCAAGTTGAACTTGTGAAAAGCATAATAGATGAAAAGTCTAAGAATGATATTGATTCAACAGTGAACACATAAATATTGATACAAAGGGGCACTGAATATATATGAGCCACACAAATCACTTGATTTGTGTGTAGGCTGCCATACCGTCCCAGTGCCCACGCTGAAGAAGGTGGTTTTCTAAGGAGGCCATACTTGGAGCCTTCGACCTAAAGGTTTGATCCACAAGGCAGTGGAGCAACGTCAGGAGATGCAGTCCCATGGTAGCCGGTGACTAACCAATGGTTGGTACGCCATTTGTTCCTTTAGGATTGTGGAGCCTGTGTGCATCATTGATTTGAATCAGGGTTTTTTAACTCTTCCATATCCATCAACGCGGTTAAAGCGCCAGACATTCATTTTTCCTTCTCTCAATTTCTCAAACAATAGCCCTGACACGAAAAGTCAGTGAGCAGGACTTCCCTGACATTGTATACGCGTGGCCATTCCGAGAGAGAGTGATGGATATTCCTAAAATCGGCTCTGATAACCATCATTAAATAAGTACCAACGGATTATAAATTTAGAAGACAACAAAAAGTGCCGACTACAGTTTATTATCGAATAGCATAGTTCACTAATTTTTCTGGTTAGCATTAGTTCACTAAACCATAAGCATACCAAACGAATTTAAGTGAAAAATGCCGATACGAATGAGCGAATACAGAGGTGAGTTAAAGTAGTGCAAACAATCTAATGGATAGTCGAGTGAATCAATGATTTCAAGCGCATATATATGAAGAAATTGAATAATTCATCATTTAGGCAACTAACATTTAAGCTAGAATGAGGGATATATATTCGTAAGTGGTCACTTGTGATCAAGCATACATGTTCATATAGTATGGTAATACTAAGACATACAAATTATTACTGTTCGAATAACACTGTCTGTTAAATAAGTCAATTAAAGGTCTCGATAGAATTAATTGTGGACACACTTACGTGTAGGAGATTTGCTATAATTTTAGGGTCGAATCTTCTATAATAGAAACGTGTTTATAACAAAATGTATCAATCTGTAATAATAAAAAAGTCATGAATCTCAATTTTCAGTAACTGCATCAGCACGATTCATCTTAAAAATTAAATTAACCAGCTCAGATTGTTTAAAAGAGATTTTAATGATATACAGATCTCCTTTTTCTCAGCTATTGACGTGAACTTCAGTTTCAGTCAATGGTTTATATATCAAACTGTAGATCACCAAAGTAGATGATCTATGTCGAATGATTGGAGGCCTATTTGAGTTAGAGAAGAATGGTGTGACGAACTAGATAACGTCGAATTCACACAGCATGGTCAGTACCTTACGTGGACTACCCCATTAATGTATCAAGGTACTGTAGATGCTTTGAAGACTGTACAACACAAAGGATGTCATTACAGAAATATATTAGTTAAAGTAGATACAATCGAAATTAAGACAACCGCTGCATGGGTCAGTCCATGGCATACGATTTACAGATGCGCGTTAGTTGTCCTTGACCTTGACAGGGATCGATGATCTGTTCGATATTCCAATGACCCAAATGTCGGATGATTTGATTAGGGCTTAGTGACACTTCATTGGCCCTACAAAACTAATGCCAACAATCGTATTCATTCTGTCATTATTCTTGGTAATTCATTCAGTTTAATCGTCAAATTCATTAGAAATATAATTTTCATAAAATTCAAATCGAGAGAAAAAATCCACATCATATAAGATCTAAGATCTATTCAAATGATGACTCACAAAACAGAACCTAGAAAACGTCTCATCGCTGTCCTATTGATTAGAGACCATTCAGTGTTTTCAAACTTCTTTTATTCTGTAATACCATAAATTAAAATATCGGTATATTGTATAGTTAACCAAGGTTAGTTCTTCAGAGTGATAAACATATTCACTTCTACCTGAAGTTTGTGCTGATGATGTCGTTCAGAAGAATGGTGAAAGCTCCATGATAAAAAATCCAAACCAGAGAACAAAACTCTATCAAAAATATGTTCGTTTCAGTTTCGTCAATAGGATTCGATCTTCATGAAAGAAGGACCTGACACACATGACAGTGATCATCCAGTGATCAATCAATCATGAATACTTCTCAAAAGTACAGGAGGTCAGTCGCGGCCTGGATAGCGCAATACTAACGCCTCTGACTGTGAATCTGAGTGACACGAGATTGAATCAATTAGAGAGCATCAGTTCACTCAAGGTTATACCTACACCTTGCTGACAAGTGCTAAACAGCACGAAACCTAGGTTGAATAGGGTTTCCTATTGGCTACGTCCAACCACCATCTTATCACAATTTCATCAAATCAATCTTTTTACAAATATCTTTCAAGCAAATAATATTAGTTGATTGTCATCATTTTCATAAAATATAGTAAACAGCTAATTATGAATAAAGAAAAAGAAAATGTATTACATCTTGATTATTCCAAATCTATTTCTATTTTCTGCAGCAATTTTGATAACTATCCCGGTCTCCCACATTGTACGAGTATTCCATGTACATAAATTAATGATTGCTCTGGTTATCACAAGGAGCATCAGCCTCGTAGCTTCTGAAGGAACTCGACTTTCACCATGAGGCGTCATAGCTCTTCTAAATGAAGACCTTCTAAATCCTAGGGCAGAGTTTAAATGGTTTTAGTGATTCTTTCTGGTTAGCGATTTTTTTAGTGAGTTAGTTTTCTACAGGATGGGGTTGTTAACCCCATGCCAAACCCTACTCCTTTGTCCGGACTTGGGACCGGTAGTAGCCCCAAAAGGGCTCCAGGTGACTTTAAATAGAGTGTCTCGGAATCGTGTACAATGCGAAATGAGCATTCACTCTTCCAGCAATATTGAACCCTAGTATTCCTTCATATACATGTTTCAACTCTATCTTTTAGAACTATGTTCTCTATGTTCAGTAGTACTCGTCATCATTGATACTAAACTGTTTCCAAAGTTTTTACTAATTCATCTTGTTATATCTATATGTTAGTCAAAGTTCCCATCTTCGACTAACTCATATCTATACCAGGCTTTATGTTAATCATGTCTGTTTGCCAGTCATAAAGTTATAGTGAACTGTTTACATAATCTTCACATATCTAATCACCACTTCATTTATATAGTCTATTAGTCTAAAAAGAAGTTCATTCATTACTAAGTACCTAATCAAACAGTTGATTCGATTATTAATCATTATAATCATTTCTCTTACCCATATCCCCTGTCCCCTTGTTATTTCATTTGACCTATAAACTAATTCAAGTAAACTAATGTTACCCATTTTCTTATTGGTAAACAATCATAAATTGACTCATGATTTCAACTAGTGAAATTTCTAAAATATTTACAAAACCCCTCTTTGATTATAATCATCAGCTGCTCACTACTGACGGTTTCCAAGACGCATTTCCTGGAGTTCTAGTGAGAAACAGTGACCAGTAGAGTTCAACTAGGTCTGTTGTGAGATATCAACTCACTGAAGACAATGGTGTATTGTGGTGCAATTTCGTGGATTAGTTAAAGTTAAACATTGACACTGTTGGATCTTAGCAAGTTCAGTAGTTAAGCGCTCGCGAGAGAGACTAACAGGCGTAGTTAAATCTATCTCTATAGTGATTATAAATGATCTAAGAAAAAAAATCAATAAAATTCATTTATTCAATAAAACGAATGATCAATTTCAAAATTTCAAAAAATGGCGCTTAAAAGAAATAATTAATCAAGAGAAAAAGAAAAATATAAAGGAAAAAAAGGAGAAAAAAATATCGATTAAATTTTGTAATAATTTATCAAGATTCATGAATGATAATGGAAATATCGATAAAATGATGATTTATAAATGAACCAATCAGATTTAAGATAATAGATCTTCGATTTTGGCGCGATATTCATTCATTCATTTGGCTAAATAGCATTTTGGCATGATAGCTGATGTCAATTCGTGATGAAACACCACCACCTCTCCAAATCTAACTCATAACCTTAATCATCAATTATAAATTATCATTCTATATCCTCATATTGGTTTGTAACTTTGATTTAGTTCTAGTTAGTAGATGAATCTTCTCAAAGTGATTTTAAAGTCTTTTAAAAATAGTTCATAAATAATAGTTTCATGGAAATTTCTGAGCTAAACTAAATAGACTTCAGTCAAGTATATTATCCATGATTTCTAAATTTAAAAAAAACAAAGTAGTCTAGTGGTTGAACGCTTGAGCGCGAGACTGATAGGTCCTGAGTTCGAATCTCGCAAGGTAGGATCGTGGATGCGTACTGCTGAGAAGTTCCACAATAAGAAGAAACAGCTGTCCAGTAATTTCAGGTTTTCCATGATGGTCTAGCTTCAATTGAATCATGATCTCAACTATTGAAATTACTGTAATATCCATAAAAGCCTCTTGTGATATTAAAAACAATTAAACAATTAATCATTGAAGTAACATATTTGACAAAGGGCGGGCTTTATAAGAATAACTAGTTTGGAACTATATTAATTAATAATTAACAATAGTATAAATAATGTGGCTGATTCTAGAAAGATTCCCCAAACAAATATCACTATGGAACTACTGGGAAGATAATAGTCTGTTTACAGTCAAACAGTTAAAGGGAGGATGGTATTGGCATTTGAATGAATAAAAAAATATTGTTTTCTGAATGATCTAGTGTTTAAAAAGCACTTCATCATTTAGGAGATGACTAATTTCATTCTCTATCTATGATATTATAAAGTCGATAGCGATAAATATCGCTTCGTCAGATTTCAGGTGATTGTAACATGTTACACAAATGTAATCATTATGAATTCATTGTTTGTTGACGCCTATGGAGAAATGAAGTGGGAAATCAAATACAGTGACTCTTCGTGTATTACACGAAGGACCACTTAGAGATGTGAACGGTTATTTCAAGAAGCTAACTATTGTTTAACATTGACTAGCTGACTGGTAATAATAATTCATTTAGATGATAAGTTATTCAGGTTTACACTATCAACGTTAATTTACAATTTAGCTACTTCTGTGTTAATGCATGCTTCGAAACCTTTGTGGTTTGGAAATGATCACTTCACTCACTTTGCACTTTGATTTCTCCTGTATCGGATTTCACCTACTATATTCCATCATTATACAGTGGTTATCAGTATTCTTTTAAACTTTTCAAAAGCTATCGGGGACGTAAGCTAGAAAAAATAACACCCAAATAAGATCAATAAAGAAACTAATTGGGCCATTAAAAAACAAAGAATACAGAGAATAAATTTCTTTCTTTTCTTTTCATCATCTGCTGTAACCGTACAATTGTATTTAGCGTTGGTTTAACATATAGAGTAATCTTCAGAAAAATAGAAAGTTAGCTACACTATAAATGAGTTAGTAAGTTCAGATTGCTAAAGAATCACATATTAGGATGACACAGCTTTCTATAACATCCTGGTTATTATCAGTTGTCTAACTAAAAACATTCAGTGATGTTTGGAGATATCAAGTGTCACAACACAGTTGCATAATTATTTTGAGGTTAAAGGAAAAAGAAATTGGGGTAAAATAGATGTTAAAAACATAATTGTCCAATTGTAGAGTATGAATGAAGCAATTCATTTAGATAGATGTAACAAACAATACGAAGTTTAACAGTAACCATAGATACTATATCAAACAATCGAAAATACTGGTCACCAAGTATGTAACAGATTTTATCGGTTATTAATAATTATAACAACAAACATTTATTCATTCAAAACCTTTGAAATCATAGAACATGAAAATCAATTTTAAAAGCTATAGTTACATCGAATATTAATGGTCATACTTAAAGGTATCATTTTATACTACTACTACTACTACTACTACTACTACTACTACTACTACTACTACTACTACTACTACTACTACTACTACTACTACTACTACTACTACTACTACTACTACTACTACTACTACTACTACTACTACTACTACTACTACTACTACTACTACTACTACTACTACTACTACTACTACTACTACTACTACTACTACTACTACTACTACTACTACTACTACTACTACTACTACTACTACTACTACTACTACTACTACTACTACTACTACTACTACTACTACTACTACTACTACTACTACTACTACTACTACTACTACTACTACTACTACTACTACTACTACTACTACTACTACTACTACTACTACTACTACTACTACTACTACTACTACTACTACTACTACTACTACTACTACTACTACTACTACTACTACTACTACTACTACTACTACTACTACTACTACTACTACTACTACTACTACTACTACTACTACTACTACTACTACTACTACTACTACTACTACTACTACTACTACTACTACTACTACTACTACTACTACTACTACTACTACTACTACTACTACTACTACTACTACTACTACTACTACTACTACTACTACTACTACTACTACTACTACTACTACTACTACTACTACTACTACTACTACTACTACTACTACTACTACTACTACTACTACTACTACTACTACTACTACTACTACTACTACTACTACTACTACTACTACTACTACTACTACTACTACTACTACTACTACTACTACTACTACTACTACTACTACTACTACTACTACTACTACTACTACTACTACTACTACTACTACTACTACTACTACTACTACTACTACTACTACTACTACTACTACTACTACTACTACTACTACTACTACTACTACTACTACTACTACTACTACTACTACTACTACTACTACTACTACTACTACTACTACTACTACTACTACTACTACTACTACTACTACTACTACTACTACTACTACTACTACTACTACTACTACTACTACTACTACTACTACTACTACTACTACTACTACTACTACTACTACTACTACTACTACTACTACTACTACTACTACTACTACTACTACTACTACTACTACTACTACTACTACTACTACTACTACTACTACTACTACTACTACTACTACTACTACTACTACTACTACTACTACTACTACTACTACTACTACTACTACTACTACTACTACTACTACTACTACTACTACTACTACTACTACTACTACTACTACTACTACTACTACTACTACTACTACTACTACTACTACTACTACTACTACTACTACTACTACTACTACTACTACTACTACTACTACTACTACTACTACTACTACTACTACTACTACTACTACTACTACTACTACTACTACTACTACTACTACTACTACTACTACTACTACTACTACTACTACTACTACTACTACTACTACTACTACTACTACTACTACTACTACTACTACTACTACTACTACTACTACTACTACTACTACTACTACTACTACTACTACTACTACTACTACTACTACTACTACTACTACTACTACTACTACTACTACTACTACTACTACTACTACTACTACTACTACTACTACTACTACTACTACTACTACTACTACTACTACTACTACTACTACTACTACTACTACTACTACTACTACTACTACTACTACTACTACTACTACTACTACTACTACTACTACTACTACTACTACTACTACTACTACTACTACTACTACTACTACTACTACTACTACTACTACTACTACTACTACTACTACTACTACTACTACTACTACTACTACTACTACTACTACTACTACTACTACTACTACTACTACTACTACTACTACTACTACTACTACTACTACTACTACTACTACTACTACTACTACTACTACTACTACTACTACTACTACTACTACTACTACTACTACTACTACTACTACTACTACTACTACTACTACTACTACTACTACTACTACTACTACTACTACTACTACTACTACTACTACTACTACTACTACTACTACTACTACTACTACTACTACTACTACTACTACTACTACTACTACTACTACTACTACTACTACTACTACTACTACTACTACTACTACTACTACTACTACTACTACTACTACTACTACTACTACTACTACTACTACTACTACTACTACTACTACTACTACTACTACTACTACTACTACTACTACTACTACTACTACTACTACTACTACTACTACTACTACTACTACTACTACTACTACTACTACTACTACTACTACTACTACTACTACTACTACTACTACTACTACTACTACTACTACTACTACTACTACTACTACTACTACTACTACTACTACTACTACTACTACTACTACTACTACTACTACTACTACTACTACTACTACTACTACTACTACTACTACTACTACTACTACTACTACTACTACTACTACTACTACTACTACTACTACTACTACTACTACTACTACTACTACTACTACTACTACTACTACTACTACTACTACTACTACTACTACTACTACTACTACTACTACTACTACTACTACTACTACTACTACTACTACTACTACTACTACTACTACTACTACTACTACTACTACTACTACTACTACTACTACTACTACTACTACTACTACTACTACTACTACTACTACTACTACTACTACTACTACTACTACTACTACTACTACTACTACTACTACTACTACTACTACTACTACTACTACTACTACTACTACTACTACTACTACTACTACTACTACTACTACTACTACTACTACTACTACTACTACTACTACTACTACTACTACTACTACTACTACTACTACTACTACTACTACTACTACTACTACTACTACTACTACTACTACTACTACTACTACTACTACTACTACTACTACTACTACTACTACTACTACTACTACTACTACTACTACTACTACTACTACTACTACTACTACTACTACTACTACTACTACTACTACTACTACTACTACTACTACTACTACTACTACTACTACTACTACTACTACTACTACTACTACTACTACTACTACTACTACTACTACTACTACTACTACTACTACTACTACTACTACTACTACTACTACTACTACTACTACTACTACTACTACTACTACTACTACTACTACTACTACTACTACTACTACTACTACTACTACTACTACTACTACTACTACTACTACTACTACTACTACTACTACTACTACTACTACTACTACTACTACTACTACTACTACTACTACTACTACTACTACTACTACTACTACTACTACTACTACTACTACTACTACTACTACTACTACTACTACTACTACTACTACTACTACTACTACTACTACTACTACTACTACTACTACTACTACTACTACTACTACTACTACTACTACTACTACTACTACTACTACTACTACTACTACTACTACTACTACTACTACTACTACTACTACTACTACTACTACTACTACTACTACTACTACTACTACTACTACTACTACTACTACTACTACTACTACTACTACTACTACTACTACTACTACTACTACTACTACTACTACTACTACTACTACTACTACTACTACTACTACTACTACTACTACTACTACTACTACTACTACTACTACTACTACTACTACTACTACTACTACTACTACTACTACTACTACTACTACTACTACTACTACTACTACTACTACTACTACTACTACTACTACTACTACTACTACTACTACTACTACTACTACTACTACTACTACTACTACTACTACTACTACTATTACTGCTTTTAATCTGTTAGTGCTTGAAATAGGTAGTGTTTTTTCTTTCTATTGAATACTGATTTCGTTATTGATAAAACACCAATCGCTGACATCTGTTTGTGATTTTAGTTCATCTCTTATCATCTGTCATTCGAGATTTGCTGTTATCTTCACTTCGATCATTATAGTGATGTTTTTTTGAGGCAGATACATAATGAATTGACTGAACATTTTATCAACATGAAAGTACAATTTTAATAATAGTTTTGACCATTTGAAATGAATATACATTGGCTTCTTTATATGATTTATTTTTCCATTACTTATATAATAAATTTCTAATTTCTTCCCATGTATCTCCTCATTTTCAATCAGTTAACCAATAGATCTGTCTTTGAAAACTTATTCAATTATGTTTGTTCGAATTAGATTCAATGATTAAATTTATAAGTTTGATCCATTTGTCCATTATAGAAATTCTTATCATTTAAATTCACCTCTCTAACAATGATGATCAGGATAGGATGAAAAGTACAAACAGATTTATTACGGTAGTTAAGGCTTACCTATTCAATTATACATAATATTCTACATTTGCAAAAAAAAACAATCTGTTATTAGAAATGTCAAATAGATTAGGTATTTTAATGTTAACATGTCAATAATGGATTATGTGGCTATAAATCCAATACATTATATAGGAAAACAGCAGGAAATCACTTAAGACATAATTCATAAATCATTCCTATTCTATGTATTCTGTGTAATTATTGATTACAAATAGATATTTGTTATTGATTGATCTCAGTTGTAGAATTAATTGAAACCAAGAAGATCAAGGAGGGTATTTTGTTTTCGTATAGAATTATTCATCAGTGCGATTTAATTACCAAGATTACCTTATACAACTTTCTAATTACATTAATCCTTATCAAGTTGATTTCATTACAAGTTTATTGTTAATAATTTTTTCTGGTTAGCGTTTTTTAGGGAGTTAGTTTTCTACGGGATGGGGTCACTAACCCCATGCCCAACCGTCCTCCTTTATCCGGGCTTGGGACCGGTAGTAGCCCACGGAGGGACTGTAGGCGGAGTCGGAGGCAGATGTGAAAGCGTGGGTCAGTAAAGCGAGAGCAGTATATTTACAACTGAAGGATATCTGGAACTCAAAACAACTGTCAACCAACACCAAGGTCAGGATTTTCAATACAAATGTCAACACTGTTCTACTGTATGGGGCGGAAACCTGGAGAACTACGAAAGCCATCATCCAGAAGATACAGGTGTTTATTAACAGTTGTCTACGCAAAATACTTCGGGTCCGCTAGCAAGACACTGTCAGAAACAATCTACTGTGGGAGAGAGCAAACCAGATTCTGGTAGAGAAAGAAATCAGGAAGAAGCGCTGGAAGTGGATAGGATACACATTGAGAGAAGCATCTGACTGCGTCACAAGACAAGCCCACACATGGAATCCTCAAGGCCAAAGGAAAAGAGGAAGACCCAAGAACACATTACGCCGGGAAATGGAAAGAGACATGATAAAAATGAACAAGAATTGGATGGAACTAGAAAAGAAGGCCTAGGATAGAGTGGGTTGGAGAATGCTGGTCGGCGTCCTATGATCCATTAGGAGTAACAGGCGTAAGTAAGTAAGTTATTGTTAATATTCTCAAATATATTCTTGGTTTATCTTTAGCTTACGAGTATCACAATAGGACGAAATGGCCATCCAGTGCTTCCAGATTTTCCACGGTGGTCTAGCTTCAATTAACTCATGATCTCAACTACTGAAATTACTATAATATCCACACAAAACTCCTTCTGATATGAATAACCTATAGTTAAAAATTTAGAGAATTCAAGTGTACATTATTTTATTACAGTAAACACGGATTTAAATAAGGACACGGTTTTTTCTTATGGTAACTTAATAGAGAACATGTACACATGATCTGAATAGTTAGGTGTTTGTTACCTCATGAAGTAAAACATTATCTTTAGTTTTTTTTTCACAATTGAAATAACTAAATATTGATCATATTATTAAAGGAATAGGAGATTATGGATTGTTTTAAGCTATTATGAGGACAGAACATTACTTATTGTGTGATTGTCATTTCTAATCTTGATTATTTATCTGTCAACTGACAAATAACTCATAGTTGTCCGAACATTTACTATGAAAATATGATAGCCTTAACTTCTTATTACATATTGAGATGCTCGGTAGTTGCAGAAAGTCAACAGAGACCTCTAGATAGTAGTTTCAATCTAGTTAGCACTCGTCATTAAGAAATACGTACAATCATGTGGTTAGTAATGTTCTTTGGTAGGTTTTAAATGGCCTCACCTCACAGCTTTAAGACTTGATGTATTCGGACCACAACTAATCCTATGCACGTTTGTCTAGAGCGCTCATAAACATTACTTGCAAGAGAACCTGAAAGATAAATTTGCTTCTATTACAATCTGTTTACGTGAAAATGCATACCCATTGAAATTTATTGAGAAGGAATCCAAACCCAACGTACATGATAAGTACGGTACAGCGGAAAAGAAAACCTGCTTCTTGTATCTGTTCTTCAAAGAAGACGAAGTTACTGGAATAATTAACCACAGGACTGACGACATTATGCAAAAAGAACTGCTCACTTACTCAAACAAAAATTGACATGTCCTCTCCTTCCAGTTGCTATAACTATACATGCCTGTTCCAAAGTACATATATTGGAAAAACGGAGCGAGGAGTACATGTTCAGATTTCCGAGCACATTCAAAAGAATCTGAGACTCAGGGGCTCAATGGTTTTAAACACTACAAAAGCTCGATATTTAATTTATCTTTGGATATCATTAATATTCACTCAATCCTTCAAAATAATCAATAAACAAAAGACATAGTCTCTTTGGCTTACCGAAGTAGTAAAAACATTAAAAACTTAAACTACTTACTTAGTAGCAAGTAAGTAATTAGTAGTATCTTATCTCTTTTCAAAATCCTTTTCATTACTGTCTCACTTTGCTCTTTACGTTTTCTCAATTCTATCTATAAGTGACCTCACAGTTGTTCTTGTACAGATATATCTATCCAGTTATTTATGACAACCCTTGTTATTCCAATTCTCTCCATCATTTGTATCAGTTAATTCACATTATATCATACCTCAACGTTGTTACGCTTTAATACAAATCGTTGGTTTTAAACAGGTGATGAGAAACTACAAAACCAATTAAATTTATATTATTCTACCTTAGTCGTTATTAATAATATTACTAGTAGCTATCAGGACTCAGTAACTAAGTGGATAATGTGGTGGTGTTTGAAGTGAACAGTACTGGGTCTGAGTTCCAAGGTGGACATCAACTCTGGGATGCAGGTACATCCGATTGACGAGTCCCAGATAGGATGAAACGCGTATTGTGGATTCCACTGTGACTCGACATCAATTTCCGCTCATAATTTTTTCAAGGTTTCTAAAAATGAGAAATACCTCGTTGCATTTTTTCTGCTAATTGCAACTAATCATTATGTTTTTCGATCCCCGAAGAGATCGAGAACACACACTGATGAAGATTCTAACGCTGAGACAAAACAGCAATCTAGTGCCTCTTTATTTATTCTGATTGTTTAACCGAAGTCAGTTCACGATTTGACCTATATAACTCAACAGTCTCCATAACTCTATTATGGTGTTTCCATATAAGTCTCTGCTATATGAATGTGTAAACTTCTGTACACATATAAAGATAGTAAGTAATTCAATCGTTTTTTGTCAGGAATTCGGAGTTAGTCTTACACTCAATAGTAACAGCTATTACATCTTCTAGTCCTTTATTTTTATCGAATTCTTTCAATTATATAGTAATTTGTAGTTTGTTTCAAAGATCCATACTGTTTGACAATAAAGATTTATTTTCTGTCATATATAGATGGTCTAGCTTCAAATGATTCATGATCTCAACTTTTGTGAAATTACTATAATATCCACAAAAAACACCTTCTGATTTGAATTAACATATGCTCACTAGTGACTGGCTTCAAGAGATATGTCCTGGAGTTCTAGTGAGAAGCAGTGACCAGTGGAGTTCATCCGCGTCTGTTGTGAGATAATAACTTACTGATGACAATGGTGGATGTGTCACTCAATTTTGTGGATTAGTTGAAGTTATACATTAACACCGTCGGATGCCGGCAGGTTCACTAAACTAACGCACGCATGAGACTGATAGGTCCTGGGTCTGAATCTCGGGAGGCCGGATCATGGATATGCGCTGCTCAGGAGTCCCACACTAGGACGAAATGACCGTCCAGTGCATCCAGGTTTTCCATGATGTATTCACTTTAATTAATTGAGTTTATTATAAAACCAAAACTTACTTATGATATATTGTTATATCTCAGCCAAAATTCTCAAATGTAGATTCAAAGTTCATGGAATAAAAATGTATTTTAGAGTTAACAAATCACTAATTAAATCTGATCAACTTTGAAACGAAATATGATAATTTTTTAGTCGATTCTATACGTTTCCAAACTCTAGCACAGTTTTTCGATAAAGCATATTACAAAATATTTATTGAATATTGTATTGTAAACTCCGCCTGTAGTTCTTATAGTGTTACTGCTGGTTCCGAGACCGTGTAAATAAGGGTGGGTATGGGGTATGCAGCCCCATCCTGTAGATACAAACCTTGTTTTTAAAAAACGCTAACCACAATAAACAAATTAAACCATTTAAACTCTAACCTCCGAGTTGAATCAAGAATTATGATGCCTCATCATGAATGCCGAGATACTTAGCTGATGCCCGTCTAACAACCAGAGCAACCATTAATATAGATATTGTAGCCTATGCTCCTCCACAAGGTTTAACAAACGTAACTGAAAAAAAGTAAGTAAATTGTATTGAAACAGATATTCATTCTTTAAATAGAAAATCCAGGACGACGACCACTGCTAACCACTATTCATCTATGATTATAATGCTTGTGACTTAAGGTAATATCGAAGTAATGCATTCAGTATGTATATATAAGCCAATAAGAGACAGATCAATTGCAGTTCTAAACG